GGCAAGAGGCGACAGGAGAGGGGTGGGGACCTCAGTGCCCTCGGACGGGTGGGGGGGAAATCCCGTTTGATGTTACCGACCCCGTACCCTCTCCCTCCTTCGATGCGCGGAGCATCGGGAGCCGTGTTCAGCGGGGGTGCGGAGCGTGGCCGGACCGGCTGAAACGCAAGGGCGGGATAGGAAAGGAAATGGGAAAGGAAAGGAAAGGAAAGGAAAGGAAAGGAAAGGAAAGGAAAGGAAAGGAAAGGAAAGGAGATGGGAAAGGAAAGGAAAGGAAAGGAAAGGAAAGGAAAGGGAAAAAGGGAAAGGGAAAAAGGGGAAAGGGAAAAAGGGAAATGAAAGAAGAATTTCTGCAGTGTGGAAAGGTGGGCTGAGGATGGGGAAGGTGTGAAGGGAAGCAGAGTGCGCAGCCGAGTCCTGCCTCTTGTGGGAGGCTCCCTTTGTGCTGGAGGAAAAATTCATCCGAGAAATGGGGCTGATTCCGAGAGGAAAGGTAGAGCCTTAGCAAAGAGTAGAAGGGTGAAGCTTATGCACTTCACAGAGGCGTCTTTTTCCCCAAGCGAACTGGAGGTTAACCTGCTGAAAAAGGGAGGTGAAGACACTGGTTTCTTTAGTCAGGATGGATTCTGGAGGTGTTGGAGTAAGTACGGCTGACTGTTAACCCTCTGGGAAGAAAACTTGGTTTGTTTTGGGTTTTTTTCTCTCCCTCTACATTGAAGCTTTGTGCAGCCTCAGCCAGAAGCACAAATCCACAAAACCTTTGTGTGCAGACAACTCCCAGGTGTAACTCTTTGCTCCGAACCTGTTTTCTTTCATCCAGAATAAAATGTTTGCCTTTTTTTAACATCAGAAGCAGTTAACCATCAACTCACACAAAGCCAGGTGTGATCTTTGGCAAATGCTAAAGAACTGGTCTCCCTCATGCCTCTGTTGATAGTTACTGTGGACAGCATGAGTATCTTGCCTGTCTTCTGGATTTCAAACTTAAACATCATTTCCCATTTGGATGTTTCCAGGTCCCAATATGTAAGCTTTCCTTAAGTCTTTCAGGTTTTGTTGTTTAGTGTTACCAAAGGCCAATTGCACGACCATTTTAAATTCACCTAAGTCTTCTTTGGATGACCCAGTTATGTGCTTAATCCTAGTTGGGTCTGGAGGTGCCTTTTCAATACTGTTCTCAAGACAAACAACATATTATGCTTTTAAAATGCATATGGGACAGGTCCTGTCCCATATGTAGTGCTCCTAATAAGTGCTACAATAATAGCCATGTATTATTAAAAATAATAAATTAATGAAGCAGACCAGGCAAAAGTAACTCCTTTCTTGCAGAAGAGACCCATATAGTGAAAGAACCATAAGAGATGAGTAACCACAACAACCTGAAGGGAAAAGAAAATGCAATTATGTAGGTAGAAGCAAAAACATAAGAGATGAAACAGGGACCTCTTGTGTACCTAAGGAAATGGTTATGAAGATTAGAGTGGCTCACAGTATTGGAAGCTGCACCAAGGTCAAAGAGAACAACAGGGGAAAAGGGCTTTTATTAGCAAAAGAGAGACTATTAACTTAACAATAGAAAGTGTGTTACCTCGTGGGTAATTTACAGACACACAGTAAAAGATACTGTTGTTTGAGCTTACTGTGGAAGCACTACAAAAAGGTTTTCATTGTAGAAAGACAGTTGGCAGTAGCAGGCGTTTTAGCAACACACTACAGATTCTGGCAGAGTAACAGAAATATGGATGGAATAAATACTGTGGGATGCAGTACTGGCAGATGAGACCAAACTAAATGAAAAGGGCAAGGAAACTTATTTTGAGAATGTGTAGTGATGTAATGAGCTAAGAGGATGGCAAAGAATAAGAGAGGGCTGGTGGCTGTCAAATTGAAGAAAGGCAACACATTAGTTAAGAATTGGAACCGGATGATGCCTGCGCAGTTGGGAGCAATGTATGTTTTTCTATCTCATTTTACAAAGACAGATCTAATTGTCTATTGAAATACAGAATAGCTTCCACTCAGAACAGTGTTGTCTTCAGCATGAGCTTGAACTGATCAGGGAACAAACAAGCTGACTTACCAGATTTTTCTGTATAAATATTATGAGCCCAGCTCATCTGAAAGTAAGCAAGCATGCTAAAAATGTTCAAACAAGAACTACATTTGGTTAATGCATCTAGGAGCAATTGTCACTATCCAAAACACCCGTCCTCCTCTATATTATGTGAGCAGACAGCTTTCCCAATTTCCTTCAAAATGCCATCTAGGAAGCTGTAATAGGGTCAAAATATACCCCTTTCTGGGTTTATCTGTTAACAACATAACATAAAAGACTTGTATTCCAGGCTTGGCTGTCATGAGTGTTTCTTTAAGGGTAAAGCTAGAACCACTGAGGTATTTAATTCCTGGTTCCTGTCCTTTGAACAGTCCAGGCTAGTGAGACAGTATGTGAAGACAGGATAAGCCCTTTGGGAACATTAAATTAAGTCTGTGTTTTGCAAGGATTATTATATTTTTCGTGGAGTGATGTGGGCATATGTGAATTCTGCAGTTCTCTTGTCTTGGATCTTGTGGAGTTTTGTAACTGCAGGCCAAAGCAGGCAGCTGCTGGGTTTGCCTGAAGTGTTGTGCAAGCCATACCAGAAAGCTGTGGCTCTAGAAGAGCAAAAACTAAAGCCCTTTGGTTTTCCTTCCATACAGGGATGAATCAGCAAGCTCTTTCTCTTCAGCCAAGTGACATTTGTTTCTGTTATGCCCACAATGCAACTAATGAGCCACCAGCGTCACTGAGTCAGCAAGAGTTGCTCTCTTAGCAGGGGTAGAAAGAAGAGTTCGTCGAGGAATGTTACCAGCCTAAGCAGCTTTATAGTGTATAAATGACCTGTCTCTTGCCTAAACTCAGTATATAACAAGGATGTGAATCTGCGGAAATGGACAATCTAAGGAGAGCAAATAGCCTCCTGCGCAGCCCAGTCTCCCTTATCACATTGTGTTTTTCTCTACTTGATAACATATCTGGGAAATTTTAATCCTTAGGTAAAGGCTGTAGGGTAGACATGAATTTTAAATAAACAGCAGTTCCACCCTGAGCTGGGCGCCCTTTACTGTCATTCGTAGAGCAGAAATCAGATGTCAGCACCAGTATGCATAATGGCAATATTAATTTCCTCATGTGGGTAATACCTTTTAGATTGTTTTGTGCTTCTTGGGACAGTGATCTTGCCTGTATTCAGAGTTACAGCATCCAACCTCTTATGGCGTATGATAGTAACAGAACTGAGGGAAAATAGGATTCTCTAAGGTGAAGCAAAAATCTTCCGTGTTTTTCATTTTGCAGGAGATCCAGCTGTGGGGAAGAGTGCTTTAGCCCAGATGTTCCGCAATGATGGGGCTCATTTTCAGAAGAACTACACACTGGTAAGCATACAACAGGTTCAGACTGCTATGCAACATTTTTCTAAGTTGCTTGAGAACAAAATAAATAATATGGTTTTAAGTTGAGGCATTCAAGGTGGGGGTCTTATTCGGGTTTTCTTTCTCTTACAACCTAGATTCTGAAGAGAAACCATTTAATGCTCTATAAGTCTTTACATTGTGTGGGTGCTGGTTTTGAAACTTAATGCAG